GAGTATTCAAAAGCTTCAAGAAATCCCATCAAGTTTCAAGAGAATTTCAAGTCATCAATTTTAAGCAACATTACCATTTTTCCAAGTGTCCAAATTCAAATTCATTTTCAAGAATCCAAATTCTTCATACAAGTTTCAATATCCATTCTCATTCATGATCAAAGGTTACACATGAGAATCAAGTTCATTCAAGTTCCATACATGATTCATTCAAGTTTCTATACAAACTTCAAGGTAAGAGATTTCTTTCATGGTACCAAGAACAATTCAAGAACAATTCAAATCCTAAAAGAGTTAAATTTACAAAAGACATTCAAGTTTCTACTACTACAAGAACAAGTCTCTCTTTTCTAAAAAACTCCAAAGCTTCATGATAGATGTGTTTTCCTCTTGCCTCTCTCAAATAATTTTTTCCACCATGGCCACAAATTCTTTGCTTCTTCTACGATCTTCCATGTTGCAAGAATCATTATTCACAATACATGAAAAGAGGGAATTAAAGAAGTATTAGCATATCAATTCAATAAATAAAGTCCAACAAATTTCAAATGAATTCATTCCAAGTATTTCCCAAAGTGTTCTTCATGTTTCAAAGACAACTTCGCAAAAGCCCATGGTTCACAATATTTAACAAGAACTATAAAGTCACAATTGCTCAAATCAGGCCCATGATTGTAAAAGTTTCAGTCATCATATTTCAATCCAAATTTGCAAACATGATTCACAAAAATCAGGCCCAAGAATTAGTATCAACGACAAAACTAAATTTGCAAACAAAGTGAAAGTTTGTACCAAAAACCGAAAGAGGGGCAAAAACCGAACAAGAAAATATTAAAAAAATTGAATTCTAGAGACGTCACGGCGGCGATGCCGCGAGTTTCGTCGGAGAACCACAGTGACTCTCCCTTTGAACAACCACGCCTTACCCTCTTTCTTCTTTTGCTTTTGTGTTGTTTTTTTGTTATTTATGGAGAGATATAAAGATGCTCTTAAAAGAAAATAAAAAATTTATTATGGTTTGAAAACTTACCTCTTACTATTGGAGTCGTGTATGGATTTTGAGCAACCTTTGTGATGGCCTGATGATTTCTGTAGCTTTCCTGGGCCTCCTTGAGTGTGTTCCAACTCCTACTTTGCTCTGAAACCAGCTAGAACTCTCTACTCAAGTCCAACTGTAATGGAGGTTTTTGAAAATGTTGGATGATGAAGATGAAGTTACAGAAGTGTAACAGGTGTTGAGATGAGTTCTATATGATGTATGTGAAGTGTTTAGATGGTTAAAAGTGGAAACGCACGAGTGGAAATGGAGATGGGTGTTTGAAGCTCAAAATGGAGTTTTTGGCCAATTCTGACTTATGAAGACTTAAGGGTGTTTGAGGGCTTGTAAAAACCTGTCTTATGTTGCAAATAGTCTCCCTAAATATAAGCAAAGGGTTAGAGGTTTTGAAATGATCAGAAAACCAGAGATCATATGTTATGGATTTTGCCTTGTTTTTAAAAGCAACATTGACAAGCATTGTTCCAAGACAAGGTACAAGGCTTGTAGGGTGGCTAAAAACATTAAACACACTTGTTCTAATTGTGTAGAATGTGTTTGTGCAGAAAGAACAAATGCAAGGCTCAATGTAAGCTGACTTTGCATAAAGCTTGCTTTTCTAAAATGACAATGTTGCTTTTCTTCCCAAAATGGAATTATACTTGTACAATGCATTGAATGCTTAGATTAAAGCTTCCAACAGCAGTGAAAACACTTAATTATGGAGTGAAAGTCAAGTTAGAAGCCTGCAAAGTGAGATTTGTATAGCATGCTTGAAGATTGGATCAAATGTTCATAATGAAAATGGCTTGAAAAACAAGAACGGAACCCTAACTTCATCTCTTCGATTCTCCCTGCTCAAAAATAATATCAATGAGTTCTAGGACATTTTAGAAAGCTTGTAATATGCTCTACAACTCATATTTGAATTGATTTAGAATATTCCCCTTGGAACTATATGAAAAAGTGTCATGAAGTTAGGTCAAAATCTTGGTCAAATTAGGGCAAAATTTCACTAAGTGTTTAGTTTCATGACCCTATGTTCATAAAATTATAACTTGATATCCAAGCACTTTTGGAAGAAGTTGTGTGAATAAAATTTTTAGATTTCATGGAGATATACAACTTTCATGTTGGAAGTTTCTCTTGAATCATCTTTCATCATTGTGAAAATTTGGCTCAAAGTTATGAAATAAACATGAAATTTCCAACACTTAGAAAAATTTCTAAGTTTAGAAATTTTTACTTTTCAAAATGAAATCTTGACTTTTTGATTTCTTGATGAATAAGTTTCATATTTTGACATGTTTTGATGAATTGTGATCTTTGGCACTTGAATTTGATCAAAAAGTCAAGGTATCACTTTTCAGTATACAGTTGACTTTTGATCAGTTGACTGCAAAATTCATCTGTCAATCCAATGGACTTGCAATGTTTTAAACCATGTAATTAGGTAAAAATGGTGCAATTGGGCTCTTGAGATTATTCCTTAAACCAATTGACCAATTGCTAGGTTAAAAATCAGAAATTGCCCCTTCTCAATCAAAACCATAATTTTGACCATTTTGCCCTTTTGAGGATTTGATCAAATTTCTTGAGGAATTGTGGTTCAAACTTGATCAAATGATACATATGAGTTTAAAATGTTGATGTGGATCAAAAATTAAAAAGTTTGACTGTAAATTGGTCATAGTTGACTTTTCCCCAATACAACTGATTTTTAGGTCAATTGCTCAATTGATTGAGCAAAAATATGATCCATGGTTTGAAACTTGACATGAGTAATATTGGGGGTCCATAATGATCCATGAAAGTCATATGGGGCATTAGAAGTTCAAAAATCCTTGTGAAAACTCAAACCCTAAGTTTGGTCATCAATGCTTAAGGAGATGTCTTGAGTTGATCAACCCTAGTGCAGTCTTAAGTCAAAGAAGATCTTGTGAGAAAATTCTTGATAAGTGAGAGGACAAATTTTGGGGTACAACAGATCCAAAAAGATAATGTATCCAAATTTTCAACACAAACACCATGGCCGCCAATTCTAAGTCATGTGTAGGATAATTCCTCTCATGAACCTTTAATTGTCTGAAGGCATAAGAAACAACTTGTTCATTTTGCATTAGTACACCACCAAGACCCATATTAGATGCATCACAATAAACTACAAATTATTCATTCGGTTTCGGAAAAATTAATACTGGAGCACTCATCAACCTCTTCTTCGGTTCTACGAAACTCTCTTCGCAAACAACATCCCACTGTTATACCCCACTTTTTACCCCTAATATTTCTCATCATCTCATATCATCAATACATCAAGATCATGCATTAGGGTTTTGTTATTTCTTCTATTGTTTCCTATCTATAAATTTATCTCTGAGGGATCACCAAGCACTCTGATTTTGTGTATTGTGTATATGTGTTTTATATTTTTACTGACTTCTAACCAAAATCCAAAAATATGTCTTGTATATTTTATTTCTTTTATAAGACAGGATTTCTAATCGAGAAAATCAGGTGATGGTTCTCTAATTAGGGTTGTGGGTTCTTCAGGCCAAAGACCGATTCTCAAAAGCCTATTTTCAGAGTTGTGATCTATAATATTAGGTCATGCTATATTGGAGCTTCGGTCAGTTGGTTAAGGCGAGTTTGATTTCTTAAATTTTCAAGATTCTTCGAGATAGGTTCATGTGTTTATTTTCATGCCTTATTTGACGTTTAATATTAAATTCTGAAAAGTGTGAACATTGTTTAATCAGAATCTCATTATCTCAAGTTCATGTGAGGTTAAGAGTGTCTTGGGTTGTGAGGAAACACGGAGTCTGCAGTTAATTCAAAGTTGGTTGACTGAAAGTCAATGTTTACAAGTTGGAGTTCAAATAATCATAATTTCTTTATTATTCAGTATTTTTGGTCGATTCTTCGAGCATACGGATCTCCTTGACATCACCTCCAATTTCTCTTTTCAAGTCGAGAGCTAATTATGTGTAGAAGGCCATCAAAAGTATGAGTACATTAGAGGTCGTTTTATGACTTTGACCTAAATTCACAAGACTTTCATCCAACTTTTGAGGATCATAACTCTTTTGATTTTCATCATTTTGTGTTGACTCCTTTTGAAATATATCCCAAATGGCGTTGTCTACAAATTTTCTTTAAGGGTCGACATCAAATTATACTTAGAAGGTTATGAAATTTGTTGAAATTTGTTTAGGTCATTTCGATCTAGGTTGACTTTGATTTCTAAATTCAATTCATGCCATAACTATTATGTTGAGATCATTCTACGGCAAGTGGGAATTTTGAAGAATCATGGATTGGTCGATGCTTGTTTTTGTTTTATTTTTTATTGATTTTCTTTTGGTCATGCCATGATTATTAGAAATTAAAAAGTTTCAATTTTTAATTGGAATCAAACTTCTCAAGGTTCATTAAGGAACGTTCAAAGAGATTTTAAACCCTATGATTCATCTCTTATTACCAAAGGTTGCTAACCATTCAAAGATATTACATTTACACTCTTTCTTCAAGATCATCATGCTACAAAGAGAAGGATTTATGTTCTTTTTGGTCTAAATTCCAAACTTGTGACAAAAGAGTATTCAAAAGCATCAAGAAATCCCATCAAGTTTCAAGAGAATTTCAAGTCATCAATTTTAACCAACATTACCATTTTTCCAAGTGTCCAAATTCAAATTCATTTTCAAGAATCCAAATTCTTCATACAAGTTTCAATATCCATTCTCATTCATGATCAAAGGTTACACATGAGAATCAAGTTCATTCAAGTTGCATACATGATTCATTCAAGTTTCTATACAAACTTCAAGAGATTTCTTTCATGGTACCAAGAACAATTCAAGAACAATTCAAATCCTAAAAGAGTTAAATTTACAAAAGACATTCAAGTTTCTACTACTACTACAAGAACAAGTCTCTCTTTTCTAAAAAACTCCAAAGCTTCATGATAGATGTGTTTTCCTCTTGCCTCACTCAAATAATTTTTTCCAAACAAAGTGAAAGTTTGTACCAAAAACCGAAAGAGGGGCAAAAACCGAACAAGAAAATATTAAAAAAATTGAATTCTAGAGACGTCACGGCGGCGATGCCGCGAGTTTCGTCGGAGAACCACAGTGACTCTCCCTTTGAACAACCACGCCTTACCCTCTTTCTTCTTTTGCTTTTGTGTTGTTTTTTTGTTTAAAGAAATACAAGTGTTGATTATGATTTATGGAGAGATATAAAGATGCTCTTAAAAGAAAATAAAAATTTTATTATGGTTTTGCTATTTCTTTTGAACCGTTACAGACTTACAACAATGATGTTGCTAGTTTTTTTTTTTTGTCTTCTTTTTTTCTTGAGATTCGCGTTATCAGTTAGTGGTGGACAAGTGGCCACCAATGCCATTTGTCCCCATCTGAGAAGATGACCAGAAATTAAATCTTGTACATGTTGTCTCATTCTTTTACTGTGTACCCTCAATCTGAACCCTTGATGTCATTATTGCATTAAAGTTAACAATATCAAAGGGCTGAGCTTTACTCTGTTTTAATTTCTTTATTTTCTTTAATTTTAAAAAAAAAATTACCTTAAAAATTCCTTTTTAATTCAATTTTTGTTCAAAAATTCTGAAAATAAATTATAAAAATCATTTTTTATGTTTATGACTTTCTGATTTTTTTTTATAATTTTATTTTGATTTTTACTATTTTTAATCATTTTTCATTTACTTTATTGGTTTTAAATAGTTTAGAAATACTTTTCTGTTTTAAAAATTTTACCAAAAAATTTGTAAAAATATTTGAGATAATTTATGACTTTTATATGGTTTTTTAAAATTTGTATTTGATATTTTGAATATAGTTTGCTATTTTTCCTTTTATTTCTATTTTAAAAACAATTTAAAAATCATTTTCTCATTTTATCTTGCTTATTAAATGCAATTTTACTTTTGTGTATATTCAGGCTGATCTTGAACTATGAGAATTTTAATCATGAGCTTCATTAACATCAATGGATCTTGGGTATTGAGTTTAACTCCACCAAAATAGATGAATGATTTTAATGATAGCTTGATTAAATTCTTTGGTTCAAATGTGAAATTTAATTCTTATCCCCTCCCTTTTCATCCAATCCCCTTCTCACTTGTGCTACATGTTGTTGGAGAATGATCTATATATCGTTTCTCTAACATGTGGTACATAGATTTCTATTGACCGACCTTAAAATAGGTGTGATTTCTATATAAGTTCACTTATGATTGTTTAACATGACGCTAAATTTTGTTCCAGTTCGACAAATGATTATTCGTGGCCCAAACCTATGTTTGCAAGCCCAAGTATGTTAATTCGAAACCTTTTATCCAATAACCTTGAGGTTCATTGTTAGGAGGCTTTGGTATTATAAATCCTCTAATGGACCATAATAAACCTTAGTCTAAGTGAATCATTTAAACATCGTTGATCATGTATCGGTGCATTGAGAACTTGAAATAAATGATATACTTGACAAAAAGCAAATGAGACTTGTTGTTGAGAAGTTTTGATTTTATCGATCTTCTAATGAGTTCTCAAATCCAAGTTTCAAGATGGTCATTCAGCTAACCTATAACTTCTAATTCATTAATAATTGACTTTATTTTTGTGCTTTGTACTTTTACTTTATGCCATTTACCTTATGATTTTACTTTTATGCACCATTTATTTTAGCATTTACATTTCATGTTATTTTCATCTTTGCTCACTTGAGCATTTATGTTTATGTCATTTTGTTTTGCTCACTCGAGCTTTTCATTTTCTTTTTGAAGACACTTAATAATCAACTTGAACAATAAAAATCCTTAAGATTACATGGACTATTTGTTTACCATCCCTGGCATAATGGAGTGGTGGACCTCCCAGATTTAGGTTTAGAAGCATATGATACCCTTAAGACCTTAGGGTTCTGATTGTTATTTTGTATGGAGTTATTAGGGTTTACCCCAAGACATTGGGTTGATTTTCTTTGTGTGTAGGTTATTCTGATTATATGTTTTGTCTGTGATTGGGAATTCCTCTGTATACAGCTGTTACTCTGCCCGGTTTTTGTAAAGACTTAATGCATCTGAAACTAGGTATTCTTAAAGAGGTTTAGTATCTTTCCTTGCTTGGTTTCAATCCAAAGGATGGGAGTTCTAAATTGACTCTAGCTTTTACCGTATGTTTTAGGATAGTCCCTTCATCTCCTCCCATCTTCTTTAATTTCAAAAAAATCTTCTCCCTCATTTGTAAAACTCTTCTGGTTTTCTAACTTGAACCGCTTTCACAATAAACTTGGACTTAGGTCCATGCATTTTCAAAAACATTTCCTTAATCAAACTTTAACCAACTTAATTATACTTTGACATTTTTGTGAGAAGACTAAAAGTCAATCAATCTCATTCAAACCATTTTTTCCATTTTGGCTTTTTACTTTAAAATTTTCTTAAAATGTTAGACTCTTGTCGATCCTTGTAGTGATGCAAGCTACTATACTTCTACGATATATAGTTAAGTGAGATATTTTCCACTTGGGTGTTGAGCGAGGCTTTGTTGATTTTTAAATCCAAGCTATATCCTCCATTTTGAGATGATGCAAATTCTCCTTTCTTATAATTATGGGTAGTAAGTATGTTTTCCACTCGGATATGACGATGATGTGTCGTCTCTTAAAATTAACCAACACACCTGTGTTTTAAAATTTTTAAAGGTGAACTACGAGTACCCCGATCCCCTATTGCATGGAAGGTGGTACGTAGGCACTAAAGGTTCGCAATCGCGGCAGGTGCAAAAATTGTAAAAAATACTTCTTTTCCCATCTCCACCATCTATTTTTTATACAACACTTATAGCCAAAATACACAAATTTTCAAAGAGGTTCCTACGGAGTACCGTAGATGTTTAGGGTGCTAATACATTCCCTTTGCATAACCAACCCTCGTACCTATATTTTCTCCCCCTCTCTTTTTGAGTTATTCGCTCTTTTCCCATTCCTCCGGAAACAATAAAGCGTGGTGGCGATTTTTAATTTATGCAAGTTAAGTCAATCCAATGGCTTAGTACCAACATTTCTACCGCTACACCCACACATAAGCTTGACCCTTTCGAGTCAATTGAGTCAACGGTAACTCCAACTTAGGAAACCCTTCAATGAATCTTCGGTAGTAACCTGCTAATCCAAGAAAACTTCGAATCTCAGTTGTAGACTTTGGTGTCTCCCACTGCAATACTGCATTAACCTTAGAAGGATCCACATCAATTCCACCACTAAAAATCACATGGACAAGGAAACTCACTTTCTTCAACCAAAATTCACACTTCGACAGTTTCACATACAACTTCTTCTCTTTCAATATTTACAACATAATTTGCAAATGCTCAACATGTTCTTATTCTAATTTTGAATAAATAAAAATGTCGTCAATGAAAACCACCACAAACTTGTCCAAGTACTTCTGAAAATATGGTTCATGTATTCTATGAAAACGCCTGGCGAATTTGATACACCAAATGGCATCACAGTATATTCATAGTGACCATATCTTGTCTTGAAAGCTGTCTTTGAAATATCATCTGGCCTAACTCAAATCTGATGATAACCCGACCTCAAGTCGATTTTGCTAAACACACTAGTGTCAACCAACTGATCCATCAAATCGTCAATCCTCGGAAGTGGATACTTATTCTTAATAGTTACTTTATTTAACTGTCTATAATCCATGCATAACCTCATACTACCGTCTTTATTTTTAACCAACAACACCGGAGCACCCAACTGAGAGGTTCTCATACGAACAAACTTCTTCTCCAGCAATTCTTCTAATTGTTTCTTCAATTCGTTTAACTCTGAAGCTGACATCCTATAAGGATCCATCGATACCGGACTTGTACCTGGTATTAAGTCTACAACAAATTCAACTTCTCGTTCTAGAGGCAAATCACCAATGTTGTTTGGAAACCCTTCTGGAAATTCACAGACAACAGGTAATTCCACACTTGCAGTTTCACGATCAACTTGTAATGATGCGAACATCACAAACATCAATTTTCATCTGCTAAAAGTTCATCTACTTGCTTAGAAGACAAAAACATCAACTCTTCACTATCACCAAACTTGGGAAACCTTGTTGTCTTATTATAACAGTTGATATGGACATAGTTGAACCCCAACCAATTCATTATAAGAACAACATCAATTTGGTGTAAGGGTAGACACACCAAATCCATCACGAAATTCTTAACATAGATTGATAAAGGAAACTTTGAGAAAATAAGAGTAGTAGTAATGGAACCCTTAGCAGGAAGTTCTACTATCATTCCTCCATTCATATCAGACAAATTTAATCCCAACATAGTAGCACATTCAAGCAAAATGAACAAATGAGTAGCACCAGTATCAACAATAGCAATTAACTCGGTATTGTTAATAAATTAAGTACCTCTGATCAAGTTGTCTTTTTTGTCGACCTGAACACCACTCAGAGCAAACACTCTACCATTAGTCTGAGCAGCAACAACCTTCTTTGGTTTCTGACACTGGGTACTAATGTGACCCTTCTCACCACAATTGAAACAAGTAGGACCTTTATTGTTGCATTCACTAACACGGTGACCAACCTTGACACACCTGTAACATCTTAACACCTTATTAGTGCAGGCATCAGCATGGTGGCCTAATTCACTACACCAGTAGCATTTCACAGAAGGGGTAGCTCCTCCCCCACTTGGCTTCTTCTCATCATAAGCTTTTTGCTTCCCCTTATCAGCAGGAGCAATGTACGGCTTACTACGATCCTGATTCTTTCCCTTGTTCTCATTATAATTCTTATAAAAAGAAGATTTATCTCTGCTATCTTGATCGAAGATTCTACATTTGTTCACCAGCATAAGAAATTGACGAATCTGCAGATATCCAATACCCAGCTTGATCTTTGGATGCAGTCCATTCTAAAACTTAATTCACTTTAATACCTCAGTTGTTGGGTTGTTATAGTGCAGACAAAATTTCACTAGCTCCTCGAATCTAGTCGCATACTCAGCAACTGTCAAATTTCCTTGCCTCAACTTAAGGAATTCTATTTCCTTCTTACCACGTACGTCTTCAGGAAAATACTTATCCAAAAAAGAAGCTCTGAACACAGCCCAAGTAATTTTTATGCCCTAAATCTCCATCCTCTAGCGCACGTTG